ATGTATGTAAAGGTGAGAGTCCAGATCCATGTAGGGTGATCTGATAAAGCTGTGAAATCCCATATTCTCATTTCTAATATTGCATCTGTCCTCCCAACAACCAAACACGACATTGAAATTCTATATGGTGCTTATATATATATATAATAATAATAACAACAGAGGAGAGAGAAGAGAAAACAGAGGTGAGAGAAAAACCACACAAAGGATCTTGTTTGAGCAGATTAAGATGACTATTCAATCTTATTGAATCTTGAATTTAATGGTATTTAGTTTTTTATTTATTACTGGCACAGTTACTTAAATTTGAATGTTCAAATAATTTGATTTTAATAGACGGATTTGGACGATTTAATTGGTTTCGATGCATAAGATTTAGGAAAAATATATTGATACGCCTTATAAAGATTTTAGTTTTAACTTTCAATGGCGCTACAAATTAGTTTTTGGACTCTCACATGTGAATTGAGCTATTTATTTCTACTTTTTAAATACAAAATATGTATAAACTTAAATGACAAAAATGCCCCTCTATACTTATTCAGATTTCAGACTACGACTCTTTCAGTGTTGGGTCGGAACCACCATCATCATAATCCCCACAACCACCACCACCCTCACCCCAACAACCACTGCCACCATCTCTCTATGGTTGAAAATTGGTAGAAGAGTTTGATTTGGGGGTTGGGGGTTGGAGGAAGAAATTAAAAAAAAAATTTGATAGAGAACCATGCCATCTTCCTCAATTTGAGGCTTATTGATAGGAAATACATATATATAAATACTAGAAAAATGAACGTGCATTGCATGTGAGGAGAAATGCTTGTGAATATTTTAATTTTATTCTTATAAACATACATACATATATATATATATATATATATATATATATATATATAAATTCTACTTTTCCTTTCTAAAAATTGTTTTAGTAATATAACTTTAAACTAAAACAAATACTAAAAGTTACAGTAATGTTTTCTTTGATTATGTCAACATATTTGGGAAAAAAAAAAGTATGTCAACATATGTAGGTTTACTTTTACTAACCATGTATCTAAAAAGGCCGAACTTATAAAATTGTAATAAATTATTAAATAAAAGGTGTCTGAAATAAATAAAAAACACGATAAGACTTTTCAAGAAATTTGTATTAGTATATAAATTTTCTAAAATACATTTGAAAAAGGATAATAATAAAATTTCAAATATTTTTTAAAATAAATTTATTTTAGTGTTTTCAATCTAACAGTAATAAAATTCAAAAGATTTTTTTTTTCTTTAACAGATTTGAATGTATGTTGTTTTTCATTAAAAAAGTTACATGTTAATGTTTTCATAAACCACGGGACATTACAACAAGGCTTTGGCTTTTTAATCCCTCTTTGTATACCTCTTATGTTTTTTTCATTCCAAAGATTCTTCTCTATACAAATTTTTTTTCGCAGTAAAAGAGTTGAATGAAATATTTTTTTATAGTTTTATGACTGTAGGTTTGTATAGTGGTAAAATTTAGAATAGTAAGCTCAATTGAATTTAGGAGTTTCTGAGAATGAAAAAAAAAATGACGGATGCTCTGAGATGGAAAATGGTGACTTATAAAGATGAGTTTGAACACAATCAATGAATGATGTTTTGCTGAAATACAACAATGGTGTTGAATAATTATACTCATATAAGGACTCCTACATATCACCAATACCTTGTGTCAACTCCGAATTAATGGTAGAAATTGCTCTAGGCGATGTCCTTGTGTGTGTTTAGATCTGGGTTTTCTAATGACAAACATAGTCTGAAAATTTGTTTCTAGCATGTTTATTCTGTCATTTTTTATTTCATAGGTGCTTTATTGTTTCTGTTTTGGAACTCTGTTCGATTTAGTTATTTAATTTGACTTAAATTTTGAATAGAACAATATTTGTTTTGGAGTAAATTACTTTTAAGGTAATTTTGAATTTTATGTCTCTAATTTTATTAATTAATGTTAGGGACGGGAATCTATTGAAAAATAGTAGAAAGTCACGTCTTTCATTACGGCTAAATTAAAAATACTAAAAAGTCATAAAGGCATGAAACTATTTGAATCATTCACCATTAACTCACTAAGTAACATCAATATCAATTTCATATCTTCTTTTGAAAGGAAAGCCTTGCCAAGCTTCCATTATAAGAACTGGCACGAAATTGATCCATTTAGATTTTACATCCCAACCATAGAGAGAAAACCTTCTCCACTCTCGCCGTTCTAATTGCTTGTCCTCTCTAAATATATTCAATCATCATCTTGTTTATCTCTTCCCAAGCAATGTCCTAACTTTCTAACTTATCTATAGAGCTTTGATATATCAGAAAAGTGACGTCTCTTATAATCAAGGTTAAATGAGTTCTAACCAAAGGATATAACTTTTACAATTATATTATAACTGCTTTAGTTTCACTAAATCACACATATAGAAGACACGACGTTTCAAGCATTGTATTAAAGGGTTAAAATTTTTAAACCAAAATTTTAAGACTCGGACGGAAAAATAATACATACTTGATAGATGCAGTGGATAATTACCGTCGTAGTTTTGACACGATATTCTAATTTCTGCATTCAAAATAATTATTAATTTTTTTTAATTCTAAAGAAAAAATGTAAAAAGACTTGGATGTTAAATTTGGCTCGATCTACGCAAAACAAGAAACAATGTTGAAAAACAATAGAACTATTACCTTTCAATGGTGCAACCTAAAACAGATGTAATCATAGGCTAAAAGTAAAAACAAAAGTTGTATGGCTTTATCAAAAAGGTTAGAAATTGGATTGTATAGGATTCAAATTACAACTTACCTTCAAAAAATGAATAGGTGTTGATTAAATTTGATCAAATTTGTACCGAAATTCAAATTGAAACATACCTTCAATAATAATAAAGCTTGAGTCATGCGCTTCAATCAAATACGAATTTTCTTGGAAATATTTGAAGTTGCAATAGAACATAGAAGAAATTTTTTTTTAACAATTTATAGAAAAAAGCCAGAGAGATAGAATGACAGAGAGAAATCTGAATGTTAGCCGCTCATTATATAATCTTGAACCGACGTGTGTGTTTAGACGTCAAAATCTAGCCGAATAGATGTAAAAAAAAAAAAAAAAAGTTGCATCGATTTGATGTTTAATTGAGAGAAACTCTTTTTAAGACAAGAACTCTTTGCAAAAAAAAAGAGAAAGGAAAGTAAAATATGGAAAAAGAAAAATGACGTTAATAAAGAGAAATATTGTAACTCTTTGAAAATGATAATGTCAGTATAATATTTTTGTAAATTAAAGATATTATTTAAAAATGTATATAAAAATTCAAAATTGAATACTGGCAGCGTCCACCGGCGGAGAACGGTTCAGGTGGAGGAGGTCGTTGTAGAAAAAGGGTTGAAGCGGTGGTTCTGCTTGCAATGAGGCCAAGGATGGCCGTTAATGGAGGAACAGTGACGGCAAATGGAGAAGGGTTTTAGAGTGTTTTTTTTTTTTTTTTGTTTTCTAAGGGACAGAGGAGAAGTTAGAAAGAAGGTGGTTTGTGCAGTGTTGCATCCAAGGTTAATTTGTTCATATATATATATGTTTATCTTTTCTATATGTCAGTTTTATAGTTTATAGGGTAAAGTGCATTAAACCCCCTGAACTTTTTTCTCTTTCCCACAAAACCCCCCTGAACTATCATAAATACATTTAACCCCTTGAACAATTCAGTTCGTTGCAAAACGTTTAACTCCGTTAGAAATCAAACAGAAATTGAGGCATGTGGGTCACGTGATAGGGCAAAAAATTTTAAAAGACAAATTTGACCTTATAGCATTCCCACCTTACACTGCCGGAAGCCACCACCATTCCCACCAAACAACTACCGTGGCACCACCACACCACACCACACCACACCGACGTCGCCACCACTATCCCCAAACCCACAATCAGCAGTAGAAATCAACGGAAGAGATAAACACCGGGCCTTCACTGCGCCACCATCCATAACTGCCACCACCCCCACTATCCCCAAACCCACAATCGGAAACAGAAATCGATGAAGAGAGAAAATGGAGGCACCGCTGCCTCCGCCTATTACTCCACCATCAAAACCCTCTTCCTCCACCGATCCACTTCTCTCCAAGGGTTGTGGCGCCTCCAATTCACCAAACCACCACTCGACCGCCTCATCTGCCGCCGTTCAATCCGTTCCAAGCTCACAGCCAACAGCCAAAGTTATCGGCTGTACATGACCCATTTCTAGCTGCGTACATCACCGCCGAACTCCTCCTTAGTCGCCAGATCCGTCATCGCCATTCAGGCCCCACCCTAAGTGCATCAACTCCGTTCAGTACAGACCCGTTTGCGTCATCACCAGTCAGCTAATTTTCCACCATCGTTCAAGTTCTCGTATTACCGATTCTTCTTTTTCACCACCTCTGTCGTATGTCGCCGGTGGGTAAGTCGACGGTTATGGCCGCCGACCATTCAAACATTCTGAGCTCATCATCGCGACGAGCTCATTCCGGCGACGTTGGTCTAGGCATATGGCGGCACTGTCAAACCCACCGAATTTTTGCGTCAATGGCAAAAGCTTGCTCAAATCGTGGCGGCGTTGGTCTGGGCATATGGCGGCAGCGGCGACGGCGACGTTTATTTAGGGTTTGTAAAAAACGTGAAGGGGGAAGAGAGGGGAGGAGAGATGCAGAGAGAAGTTAGCATTTTTTTTAAATTACGTAAGTGCCATAGTTATTATGAGGTGGCAGATTCAAATGAGGGTATTTTTGTACATTACACCCAATTTTGCCATAAAGTTGGATATAACACAAAACGGCGTCATTTAACTTAAGGGCTAAATGGTAATTTACATTTTCTGTTAACGGCTTACTAACTATTGCAACAAAATGATAGTTTAGAGGGTTTTACTTACTTCAGGGGGGTTTCTTGCAATTGAGGTATAGTTCAGGGGGGTTTAATGCACTTTACCCTAATTTATATATATATATATATCATCGTTCTACACAGAACCCATCTTCATTTTTTTTTTTTTAAATATATATATGTGGGGCAAAATAGTCATTTTATATTTGTAGATATTTTTGATCATTTTTAACAATATATAATAATAAGGGTATATAAGTAAATTCTCAACAAATTCTGACATAGGGAGGTCTTTGTAAAAAAATAATAAATCTCAGATTCGTCTGCAATTATACCAAACCTAAGGGGAGGTCACTGTAATTTACCCTAAAATAAATCCAATCGCTAAACCCTAAACCTTAAAAAAAAAACAAAAAAAAAAACCCAAATGTGTTTAAACCTGCTGCGACTTCTTTCAAGGGAAACGGAAATGATGAACTTTAATCGTCCAATGTCGGCCGGAGCTAGATGGATCTGTACGGCGGTGGAGGTAGCGGCGCAACCTGGAAAAGAAGGGCGGCTCTACCGAAGGCTGTCGCCGTTGGGAGCTTCCGGGAGCGTATCGCAGACGTTAAATGAGTACATTAGAGAGGGCAGAATCGTCAAGAAATATGAGTTGGATAGGTGCATCAAGGAACTCCGCAAGTACAAGAGATACCACCATGCCCTCGAGGTTGTTTTGCGACCCCCTCTCTATAGATATATATATATATACACACATATACTAAGCTGGTTTTTAATGCTTTATATGGATTCTTGTTGCCGAATTCTTGTTGCCGATTTAAGTTGGCTGTTAATTATATGAGTTCCTTATGGAGAATACACACACACACACACACACACACACACACACATGTACTAAGCTGGATTGAAAACTGAAGAAATGTAAAAGTTCATTAGTTAACCCTGAATTGAAAATTTGAAATGCATTGGAGAAAGAGCCAGCTACTGTAGTTTATTAAATCTCATCTGAATAAAGATCGATGCTTTGAATTTTAGGATCCCCGCCCAATGGAAATCTGAAATGAGACTAGTTCCACACTTCTTCTTACTTGAGGCGAGTATTTCAGTTCCTAGAAACCAAATCGGTATAGATGATGAGACTCAAAATTTTAATTTCATTCATTTTCTCAATACTGAGAGCAGCCAATTGGAGGATAGCTTTTTTACCCATCACACACAAACACACTAGTAAAAAACAATTAAATCGATCTTAGTGAGATGGTTGAAGTATCATTCATTAGAGATAAAATAAAACAGTTGGAACAAGATTTTGTTTAGATTAGCTAAATAGATATCGATTAGAACGTTTTCAATTTTTAAAGGTCTGTTTATTTGCTTAGAATTGCCTGTGTTGTTTGCTTCCCTTAGTTAAATATGGAACTGGAGTTCATTTTGAATTCCATATGTCTCAATTCCACAATTATAAATTCTAATCTTGGGCTGGGAATTTAATTCCAAATGAGAATGGAATTCATCCGGAAAGACCCTGATTGCCTCTCGACTCGACTCTATATCCAGAGAGAACTAACTCCATAGCCAATCTTCAATGCCTCAAGCCCCAACTCTATAGTAAAGAGAATTCAAAAATCAAGCCCTAAAGCCGCAATCTCTATTGACTCCAACACAAGTGGTGGCAACGGTTCTGCAACCACGGCTGCAGGATCAGATTCCTCCGGCAAATGCTCCACGTTACCATTTGATAGCCCCAACATAGTTTTGACTTCAATAGTCCCAACCATGGTGATTGTGATCTTCTATACTGTCTACAAGAATGTACAGAATTACAGATCAGTGTATTAATTGAGATAAAGATTAGGTAGTAATGAATATATATATATATATATATATATATGAATGTGTGTGTAGGTACATCTGTGTATGCATGTGAGAGAGAACCTTTATTTATGTTGTCGTAATTAGAAGAAACTTCATTCACTGGACATCTAGTCGAGTAACCTCATTCATTGGCATTTTATATTTTATAGTTTTACAGATTTTATAGCTTATTTTTACTCTATTCACTAGTAATTTAATTAATTAACATTTTTTATATTTTAATTTACTAAACTGTAAATATAACTAGTAATATCAATTTATTACTAACAAAAATGCAAAATTGTCACATAACTTAGATTAGAGTTAACTATTTTTTGGTAAAAGTTTTATCGTTATTAGAAATATGTATGCATGCCCTATTTTGTTATTAAAAATAGTGTAATTACTTGTTATTAGTTTTTCACTAAAAATATATAGAAACTTGATGAGATATATATATATATATATATTTTGAGACAGTCAAATCTGTATCCCTTTTTTCTGATTCTTCTTTTGAGTAACATTTATGTTTAGATACGCACTTAAAGGATTTAAACTTTTAATTTTTCACTTGAAAAGTAAATTGGTTATCATAAAATTAAGCTGTTGATTTTTATTTTGTTTTTTTTTCTAAGTTTTTATTCAATTAGAAGTGTTACTAAATTTTTAGTAAAAAAACTCAGTTTATATATGTATTTATATGTGTGTATACATTTGTAGTAATTCCTTTTTTTTGTTAATATAAATGTGTGTATATATTTGTATATATATATGCATATATGTGTATTTATATACTTATATGTGTTTACTGTATGTGTGTGCACAACTGCACATATTTTCAATATATATAATATATGCATGTGTGCATATATTTTCATAATATATAATATATACACGTATCCATTTATGTACTCTTTGTTTATTTTGATAAGTTTATTTATTTATTATATATTTTTTATGTACTTTTTGTTTGTATCTAAAATTTCAATTCCAAATGAATGGGTTATTTGAGAAAAAAAAAAGAATTGTAATTCGTTTCCTTATGGATTCTAAAGTTGAACCAAACAACATATTTGGAATTGAAATTCTAATTTAGTTCCATGTAACTGAACGCACCCAAAATATTTCAGTGAAGTGAAGTTTATTTGGATGTCCATTATGAAATAATTCTGAGTTGTTTCTATATCTATTGGCATGTTGGAAGAAGCACACTTAGTCTCCCCATTAAACAAAACACTTTTTCATATCATATGGAAGTATAAACTTATTATATATTGTAAACCGGGTTCTTCAATTATTTCTTGATTCGTTTAATGCAGATAATGGAATGGATGGAAATGAGGGATATTAACTTCTCCTTCGGGGACTATGCAGTACGCTTGGATCTTATATCAAAAGTCAGGGGAATAGATGCTGCTGAAATTTACTTCAATGGCCTCTCACCATCAGCGAAGAACCGATATACTCTTGGAGGCCTCTTAAACTGCTATTGCAAGGAAAAGATGACCGATAAGGCTTTGGCTCTCTTTGAGAAGATGGATAAACTGAATGTTGTCTCTTCTTTGTCTCTTAACAATATTATGTCCCTGTATATGAGATTAGGCCAGCCTGAGAAAGTGCCATCCTTTTTCCAGGAGATGAAGCAGAGGAACATTTCACCGAGCACATTTTCTTATAACATATTGATGCATAGCTATGCGTGTTTAAAAGATATTGAGGGAGTAGAAAGAGTTTTCGAGGAGATGATGAAGGAAAATGAAAAAGAATGTGATTGGACATCATATAGTAACTTGGCCGCACACTACGTCAAGGCTGGACTTAATGAGAAAGCTGAGTCAGCCCTTAAAAAGCTGGAGGAAAAAATGGAACCTCGTAATCGTGTTGCTTACCATTTTCTGATTAGTTTGTATGCCAGTACCGGTAATCTAGGTGAGGTCAAACGGATTTGGAATTCCCTGAAGTTTGGTTTTCCAACGACCAACAATTTAAGTTATCTTGTTATGCTTCAGGCTCTTAACAGACTGAATGATATCTATGGCTTAAAGAAATGGTTCGATGAATGGAAGTCAGGTGCCTCCTGTTATGATATGAGATTAGCAAATGTTGCTGTAAGTGCTTACCTAAAAAATGATATGGTCGGAGAAGCTGAATTAGTCCTTCATGATGCCATAAAGAGATCAAATGGACCCTTTTATCAGGCTTGGGAGATGTTCATGTTCTTCTTCTTAAAGAACCATCAAATTTATAATGCTCTGAAGTGCATGGAAGCAGCGATATCTGCAGCCAAGGAAGATGAGTGGCATCCGAGATCTGAAAGTGTTGGTAATTTTTTTAATTACTTCAAGAACGAGGGAGATGTCAATGGCGCCGAGGAGTTATGCAAGATGTTGAAGAAGGTTAATTGTCTTGATTCTGTGGCTTACTGCTTATTGCTTCAGACCTACATTGCAGCTGGCACAACAGCACCTGAGATGCGTCACAGGATGGAGGGTGATGGAATCGAAATAAGCTGGGAGCTTGAAAGCTTGCTTAAAAGCGTTTGTCCTCGATAATTAAGTCCCCAAAAAATTTGGAATGTTATGTACCCCACTTTTTTTTTTTTTTTTTTACCTAGAGAGGAAAAAAAAAATGTAGTAAAATTTTATGTTAAATATATTAGTTTTTGAATTGATAGCCAATCTGGTGCTGATGGATTCCATTTTCCTCGCAAAAGCAAGCAGGTGCAATCGAGGAAGTTCCCATTTTCAAAATATTTGCAAACCCAGCTTGTGTTTGTGTAGATAGTATTATAATCTACCCTTTGGACTGGGTAAAAATTCAGCAACACTATAAAGAAATTTGTTACCCAGATGTTAAATAATTTTGGCATCCAGATCTTCATCATTTTGCAAAATTAGATTGTCAAAGGGCACATATCCTGTATAAGAAACTTGCCAACACTTTCTTCCCTAAACTTCATGCAATAATAGAATGCTATGCCAATAGGTTAATCTTCTTCCACAATGTACAATGAAAATAAGCAATTGTGGGAATCTCACTATAAAGAATCTGAATCCAACTCAATCCACAAAAGAAAGGGGCAAGTATACTTTGTCTTAAGAAAGTGTAGATATTGCAAAGAACATATACAACCAAATAAAAAATAAAAATAAAAATAAAAAAAACACCCTAGTTTTGCTGGGAAATCATTTTCCAAATTCCAAATCAAGAAAACCCAGTGCCTAGACTCGTCTCTAACAAGTGATTACATTTTAGATGTGTAATACAAAGGGAAAAGTAACAACAAAACTACAAAAATAGGATGGATGACATGCTTCTTCAACAATTTCCAGATCCTTTGTAGCCCATGGTAAACCATGCAGTAGAGTGAAGTTTTGATCTGAGCAGCGCATCCTTTAAACCTTTCGTTTCAAAGTCACGTTGATGATCTCTATTGGAGATTTAGGTCTATAAAGTTCATCTGTATCCACCTCCTCAATTTCCTGGGTGGCAAATTGCAGGATATATCAAAAGCATGATTCAAAAATATAACATCTTGAAGAAATAACATAGAAACATGAAAATGAAGAGTATATAATCTTCTCCCCATCGAACTTGGCATAATTACTGTGTAAGAGGCTGAGAGCCATGTATAATATGCGCATGCTTACTTGAAAAGAAATGAACCTAATCAACAACTTCAGCTGCTGAGACTATAAACTAACCTAATCAACAACTTCAGCTCCTGAGACTATATTAACAACAAATAGAAGATTCACACCATGACAAAGTTACACTCTTTGTTCAAAAAAAAAACCCGTGTGATCTACGAGGCAGCCATGTTCCACACCATGCATCCCTATCAAGTACTCAATTTTTCTGTAGAGTTGAGTTATAACTCAATCCTACCATAAGACGTCCAGTCGAAAAAATAAATCTCATAATATCCTTCGTCATGAGAGAGAGAGACTCAAGAATATGATCATGTTCACATTATAAAGGGAAGTTCATGTCTCATTTGAACTCCCATCATGCACTTTGCAGTAAATTCCAACAATAATCAAGACACGGTCATTAGAAACATAAAAGACTTGAAAGAAAACAGGAGGGAAGATGAAAAAGAGTGAACAAAAGTTTCACCTGAACAACATCCTCTCCCACAATGACCCGTCCAAACACAATTAGCTTCTCATTTAGATCTGGGATTGGTGCAGTTGTAATGAAAAGCTCAAATACCTCTTCGTCATGCTTTACCTTAGAAGTACCAAGCATAAATGCCTCATGCTTCAGACTGGTGAAAATCAAAATATTCAGTAACCAGGATCAAATAAGAAACCAAATTTCAAAACTCTATTGGCCATATACAAAACTTTGTAAAGCAGATCTGCAGTGAGCAAACCTTTCAAGTTGGCTGTTATGCTTTCCGGTCAAAGTCCAATCTTCCGTATCTCCATGTCTTTCGGAATCACCTCCTTGAATCACAAAGTTTTTTATTACTCGGTGAAAAGGCATCCCCTTAAAGTGCCCCTTCTGACTGGACAATCATTTTAATTCGAAATTTCATTAATAATGTTAATGGAAAGCTTGTGTCATACTTGTCCACATAATCACAACTCACAAGCATCAGGTTATCTTCAGCATTTCTCCTAAAAATTTTATAATCCAACTATATCATTGCAGAATATACGAGGATACAGAGATAAATCAACTACTATGCTACATTCGACCAATACTTCTACAATATTGTCAATCCCAATCATCAAGTGCATGAATTTTTTTACACCATCGTGATATTATATAAATTCGAAATACAATGTAAATCACTATACTTCAAAGGTTAAAAGCATGTTTTTAGTTTCCATACTCAGTGCTTGAGAAATTTATATAAGTTTAAAATATTGGTAAGGCATGTAGATAGACATTTTGTCACGATGAAGTGTCATTAAGTTGGCAAATTCTTTGACCAAAACATGTGTTATGATTAGTCAAGTCATTTGGTCGCTTTGGATCTGTGTGTGTCAGTCGAGTTAATTTGCCTACTGATATGTTTGAAGACATGCTTGATGCCTCAAATCAAATACTATTTGAAGATTGTGAGGAGGTGTGGAATAAGTGGTCTTAATCAACTTGGAACTTACATACAAGCTCAAGGTAAGTTGACTGAGTGGATCACTGCGACACTAAATTGGATACCAATTTATTTGGATGACCTTAGATCACTTTTAAGATAAGTTACAACTAACAACCACGATAAAATACTACCCTCGCGATTAGATCATGTCAAAGGATAGGTGCATTAGTGAGGTTAATACGTCGTAAATGGATATGTGACTAGAAATATGACACAAAAAAAAAAAGACCAAAATCTTCTCTAAGAAAGAAACAGACCAGAGATGTGTGTTCAAAAATGGTATTGGACATTTAAATTTTGAAAAGTGGGCTTAAGCGTAGACCTATGACAAATCAAGACAAGTGAGAATAAACACCCACAAGTGAAATGATCCCCACCTGTCTAGTGCCCTGACAACCAATACCCATGAAGGGAGTAATCCCCACCACTTTGAGATGCCCGCGGTCAATCATCAAAGCTCAAAGATCAAACCCTGAGCGGATCTATATGACTATCAAATTCAAAAAGATTTCTAAAGCATTATTTCCACGGGATAGGGTTTCTAAACAGTTCATAAAGGCCTCAGGTCTTCACATGTACAAAAACAAGAGAATAAACAGCCTCTAGAGCTCTTGTGGAACTATATAAAGGGATTTTGAAAGAGGCTTCTGGGTCATCTTTTTGAATTCTCTTTTACCCACAAAAACAAGAGAATGAACTAGTTGTGTGTGTTTCTTTCAGGATATTCTTAATGCTTCATGACTTTTTAAGAGCAACTGCCAGTAGAGACCTATTCCATTCTATTTTTGCATTCAAGTGAAGACAATCTGCTCTTTGAGATTAGAGTTGGTTTGCTTCATGAACTAAGATGAGAATAATAGTTGTAATGATAGCGGATTGTGAGGAGCTGTTGTGTTGACAGATAGTAGTGGGCTGGTGATTCCGGGAGAGAGGAGTGCGGGAGTGACTAGGTAACGTTGTATGATTAAAATAAATCAATAAGCTATGTATTCTGGGGAATAGAAATGGCTGGGTAATGTTACATTTATTTTGCCATAGTGGATTGCCTAGCTCAGGATGAGGTACTGTGATTGGGGCTGGAATTGGGTGGGCCTAACCCGAGCAACCTGATTTCTGCCCGAAAATTTTACAGGAGCAGGTAAGGTACTTGAGACCATGAGATGGGACTGAGTTTAAACTTTAGAGCCCTAATTTATTTTGGGCGGGATTTAGGTAAAGGTTGTACTAACCCGAGGATCCCGAAGAACCCGAAATAGAAGAATAGTTTATAACTTTTATATATTTAAAGTTATACATATTTATGTAAAATAAAGTTAAAATTATATTATTTATAGTATCATAACTCATGGATTCATGGGTATTTACCTAACTTTGGCATGCTTACTTTAAGATTTTAAACCTGAAAAACACATGTAGTATGGCACGGGCTAAGATGCGATGGGTTCCTCCGGACTTGGGTTTGGCGCAGGCCAAGGTGTTAGAACCTTGGGATTGGCATGGGCTAATTCCTTGACCCACCCAAGTCCCACCCCTAACTGTGATTTTTCCTTTCTCAAGATTCCTTGATTGGCTGGGTAATGTTGCATTTATTTTGCATAATTAGTTATCACTTGATTGATTAATTTGTTTAAAAGTTAAGATAATCACATAATTTTAATCATTCATCATAAAAAAGAAGCAGCCTATTAACCCTCCCTCCCCACCTAAATCATTCTTTACGTTTGTGCTTCCATTTGAGTCCTCCCCGCAAATTTACATCTTATTGCCTACGCATTCGTATAAATACAGAATATTAAATGTTAGCTACTGAACTGAGTTAAAATTACTATACACTTGCATGACTTAAGGTAAAGATTGAGGCTAGGTATCTTCCAGGCTTCATAAGTTCCAAATAATTCAATGAAATGGAGAACATGCAGATAATCGAAACACGAATTCCTGACTTCATTAATGATAACATGTATTTATTAAATAAAGAGCAGAACAAGTGTTTGCATGTGGCTGATAAAATAAAAATAAAAAAATTGTTCGCATGTGTATGAGGAAAAATGTATACATTGTAGCGAACAAAAGGATTGAGCAATCCACAAGATCAGCTGCATGCACAGTTTTAAAGAATCCACAACTAAGTAAAAATAATAGCAGTAAGCCCAATACTCACCATAAATCAATAAATTCATCAACTACTTCGGGGGAAACTTCCTTGTAAAGTTCCACCGTTATTAAGCCTTTTGAGGTCTCTAGGATCTGTTGAAATGGAGAAGAATATATAAGATTATTAATACGTATAACAAAGGGAAGAGATGAAAAGACCACATTAAAAAAAAAAAAAAAAATGAATAGAGAAGGCAGAGAAAATGATATTTTGTTACAACAAGAACCAAAGAAATGAAAAAACTATGTGAAACTTCATCAATAAAGAATGGTTACTTATTGTACATTGATATCTCAGAAAATTCACTAAAAAACCAATAGCCAAAATTACTTTTTCAAGATTACATGTAAAGCAATATTTGATCCATTAGAGTCGGCAATAAAAAATAAAGTAAAAGTTAATTACAGTAAACAATCATGTGAAGAAACTTACAGCATATCTGGGGATATCGGATTTCTTTATATCTGCAAAAGCATTGCTGTCCTGTAGCACATAAAAGACCAGATATAGAGAAAGAGAAAATGGAATTGATGGTCACTTCAAATAAAATTTTCACATCCTTTTTTTGTTTTGTTTTTTAACAAGAGAAACATTTGCTCAATGCTTTTAAAATTTGAGGGAATAATTTCTGTAAATCTTAAAAGCATTGACACTATAACAGATGTGTGCGCATGCAAAGATGATGTAGACTCAACATCTCTCTCATTATTAATGAAGTTATGACTACCCCTAATAGAATGAACGAACAAATACTCCGAACAAACCTCACAACTTTCTGATCAGTAGTATGATACCATGCACAAAATAGAGGTAAAACAACTATCAAGGAAGAAATGATAGAGTTGTCAACAAGATTGTACCTCAAGAATCGACCCCTCCTCTGCTTGAATTCGTGACCTAAGCACAATTAGCATGTTAAAATTGAAAACCAGTATAATGATTATTTCAATGAATTCAAATTTATAAGACTAGATATGTATAGATGTCACTCCAACAGACTTCCCGTTATTTGAAAGAACACCTAGATTAGATTGAATTTTAGAAAGCATAGCAAAGAAATTCACTGATATTACAAAAATTCAAAAATAGTTTTATAATTTATTTTGCATTGTTTTTTTTTGGAAAATTTTTGAACTGCAACTAATCTGTCATCCAGAAAGGAAAACTACACCAACTTAACCTGAAGTAACCAGTAGAGTGTCCAGGTTAGAAAGTATGAAGTAACAAAGAAGTTTACAATTAAAGATTAAAACTCAAGCTTGGGGCTACATCCCATGTCAAAAAGATTGCCCCTTTCAGCCTTGGAAGCACAATCTTTCTTATTTTGCATGAACTGGCTTTGCCACTCCCAAAAACATTCCTTAATTCTCTCTTATTTATCCCAGCATGTTCCAAAAATACTCCCCACGATTTCGAATTTGTTTTTAAAGCTAAATTAATATAAAAATGGAAATTTAGATATTGTCAGTTTTCAATTCCACTTTATCAAATTTTTATTTGATTTGATAAATAATCCCACTTTATTAATAATATATCAAGTACTAATCCAACATTCCACGAACCTTTGAGACCAATGTCTATATGTAGCAAACAGGAAGAATGCCATAACAACAACAATGAATCCATATAAAACAATTGTAGCAATGCTGATATGACTAGGCCCCTTCTTCTTCCTGCTTTGTTGTAGCAGAGCTTGAGGTTTGATCCTCGCCATGAAATGAAAGATACAGCTCTAAGGACTATGAAATCCCACAATGCACACACCTGACAGTTCCTATAACATATATTTAATTCTCAGATAAATTTCTATATTTAAAAAAAAAATAAAAATAAAAAATAAAAAAAATAAAAATAAAGACACACACACACTATCAAATCTACCACACGAACATGCACACACAAAAACATAAATAACAACAATAAAGAGGATAGAATAGTAGTATCCAAATAAAAAGAGTCCCTGAGCAAATGTTTTTGGCCTAGATGAACACCAAAAGCCACATGTATGCCGAATCTTACACTTGGGAGAACTTCACAAGCAATGAGGCAAGACGATACAAATAAAGAGATTATCAAACACCATCCATTCCCGGTATTCCAATTGAAGCACTTGGGTGCGTATTTGTGATTTCAATTACATGCTCATCACACTTATTTGAGACCAAAAATAAATAAACAACACATCCTCAACACCACTCGGGCTTGGCTGATCCTAGTACCAAAAAAGCAATAGAAAAACATGAATTATAAACTTCTTTTATTTTCATTTTCATTTCTTCTCGTTTCTAACAAACAAATGGGAGGTAATCTCTACGAATTTAATCAATTTGATAAATAGACTCAAAAAAATCAAGCATATACATGCAAGCGAAACTTGAATCATGTCAATAAATCGCAATATATATGTATGTATATGTGTGCATATTTCAATATTTAAACGCAATCACATATATATGGATTATCAATCATCATCAACAAAAATCCAACAGAGATTTTGACGGAAAAGGATATCGATAATTACGGGAAAGTTTAGGATTACATTTTGGAAAAAATATCGGACGATTGGAATTGAGTAGAGAAAATTACCTGATTCCAATCTTTCTAACAAAGAATGAGGGTCCGATTCGACTTCTTGCGCTTCTTCCGCTTGGATTTGAATTTCTAAAATGATGGTAGGGTTCAGTTGTCAAGCTCTATACTTCAGTAACTAGATTCTTTTTTTCACATCTATTTCTCTCTGTTTTATTTCTCATCCGTCTTTTATTTGGCCTATCATATATTATATATAAAATAATAATAATAATAATAAATTGAATAATACAAATATTCTTTTTCACTTATTATACGCTCGTCGTCATTCGTTAACTGGACATGCATTTTATTTTTGAGTAATGCTTGCATCTGTGCAGGGAGGATGAGCCCCTCTGTGCTGATGTGGCTTCCCTATGTGTTGACACGTGTTCAGAATTAAAAAATAATAAAAATATGAATAATACCCATTTTGCGGGTCAAACCCGTTTTTCACCCCCCTCCCTCTCTCTCTCCTTTTTTTTTTTTTTTTTTTTTTTTTTAACAAGACAAACATATAAGCCAAGAGACACAAACAAAGAAAGAAACAACACAATCTCTGCCGCGGGGCAAACACTTAAACCAAAAAACTAGTCAAGCCATGATAAACAAAGTTACCCGCTTAATTCGCATAAGAAACTTTAGCAATATCATGAGCCAGCGAGTTTGCTTCACGACGGACACGAGCAAGCTGAACCCAAGGAAAAGCATCCAAAAGCTGTTGAATATCATAGATCAAAGCAAGAATGGCAGCAGGACAAGCACGCAACTTCCTCACAGCATCACAAAGAATTAGAGAATCACTCTCATGACACAAGGATTGAAATTGAAAAGCACAACCCCATAGAAGAGCCTCACGCAGGATAAAAGCCTCCACTGAAAAGGTTGAAGAAGCAAGGAAAGCCTTAAGCACAACCACACGCAAAACGGCACCACTATGATCACAAAACACAAGACTATCTCCTGCCCAACCCTTTTGGGAAAGAAAAGTTGCATCCATATTACATTTGATACTACCCTAAGCTAGAGGCTGCCAAATAAGAGAAGGAGAAGGAATAGATGAAGACGGCATGACCGGTTGAAGATGTGAAACATCTTTAAACTCCCAAAATGCTGAAACAGCCAAGTGCACAATTTGATGAGGGGGAGAAGACTGAAGCTGAAAAACGAACTTGTTTTTAGCTTTCCAAATTGCCCAAGCAATAAAAGTGGCCATGCTAACCATATCAGACCCACACTTACATATCTCCAGCCACCAATCCATAAAAGAAAGAAAAGCCCAACGGCTGCAATTAAGATGTAGAGGAGACGTTTTCTAAACATGAATAGCATGGGAATGACGTAAGAACATATGCTCCATATACTCTAGACCATCCCCATATATAGCACAACAATCATCATTCACCAAGCCCCTTGATTGTAAAACTGATCTAGTTGGGAGCACCCCTTGGGCACATTGCCACAAAAAATGCTTAATTTTAGGCGAACAACAACAATTCCAATTTTTTTTTCCAGAAGGAAGAATTTCCCGATTGAGCAGCAAAAGGAGGATGGAGCAAAGAAAAAGTAACATGATAAGCCGATTTAACAGAAGATATGCCATTTTCAGTGAAAGCCCAAGACGATCAGTGCAACCTCGCACGCTAAGAGGGATACTCCGAATAGCAGTCACCACTGACACTAGAAATAACTGAGAAATAATTTAATAATTACATGAGGGAGTACCAGAGTGAATAAGCTCGGACACATGCTCAAGAGGGACATTTTGAGGGGCATATAGCTATAAGCTTTCCAAATATGGCACCCACGAGTCATTCCAGATATTAATCGATCTACAATCACCCATAATCCAACGAAGGCCCTTTTTAAGAATAGGTTTAGCTGACCATATACTTCGCCATGCCCACGAAGGGTTGGACCCCAATCCAACTGCCATAAAAGAGCAATTACAGAAATACTTGGCCTTGAACAACTGCAATGCTAGGCCCAAATGATGGACTTCAAAATTCCACGCGTGCTTTGTAAGCAAAGCGGAATTAAACGCATGCATATTTCTAAATCCCAAACCTCCAGCCTTCTTGCTCAGACACAAAGAATCCTAGTTAGACCAATGAACGGAACAAAAATCAGGCTTGTTACGTCACCATAAGGATCTAATACATTGCATAATCTTGTCACACATAGAAATAGGCAATCGGAAATAAGACATAACATAGGTTGTCAATGCACTTAAGACAACTTTAATAAGGACTTCCATACCACCTTTCTAAAGAAGGTTTGGCCGTCAAGCATCCAAATGACTTTGAACATTTTGCAATACAAAGTTAAAGATATCATTTTTGGAACGACCAATAATCTCAGGCAAACCCGAATAACGAGTTGTCAAGCCCTCTTCCCCAATACCTAAAAAAAGGCAGAGCATGGAGCGTCAAGCAGTATCAGTGTTGTTGGAGAAGAAAATAGATGATTTAGAAAAATTCACCATCTGCCCTGAGGCACGCTCATAAGCCAAAAGGATACGCTTCACTCATAGCACTTCTGATCGGGTTGTTTGGCAAAAAAGAATAGAGTTATCGGCGAAGAACAAATGTGCTAAGGAAGGGGCACCGCGGCAAATCCGAACACTAGTCAAAACTTTCATTTTCACCGCTCGTTGAAACGCCTGGGACAAGCTTTCTGCACACAAAATAAATAAATAGGGAGATAGAGGATCGCCTTGGCACAGCCCCCGGGAGGGCTTAAAAAAACCCATCGGATGCCCATTAAGGACAATAGAGAAAGATACAGTGGAAATGCAAGCCGAAAGCAAATGAATCCAATGGGGATGGAAGCCCAACCGCTTTAGCATATTAAATAAAAAGGCCATTCAATCAGATCAAAGACTTTGCTCATGTACAGTTTCAATGCTAAAAAATATTTTTTCCCTTCTCGTTTATTTTTAAGATAGTGAAGAACTTCATGGGCCACGAGAATATTATCTGTGATATTGCGACCCGAAATAAAAGCACTCTAAGTGTCACTAATATAGGAAGCAATCACAGATTTAAGACAATTAGTAAGCACCTTAGATATGATACGATAGGCGACATTACACAAAGAAATAGGGCGAAAATGGGAAACTTGTGTCAGAGAATGCATCTTCGGTAAAAGAACAATATTAGTGTGATTTAGGTTGATAACATAAATCCAGAATGCATAAAGCTTGAAATTGCATTAACAACATCAGTTTTAATCACATGCCAGTACTTTTGATAAAAAATAGGGTCATACCATCAGGTCCTGGCTCTTTAAAAGGCGCCATAGAAAAAACAGCGTGCTCCACCTCAACCTCTGTTAATGGCCTTAACAACTACTAGTTCATTGACCAACAGGCCTGTGGCCTAGCGGTACAAGGCTCTTATCTCCCAAAGGGAGGTCAGGGGTTCGAACCTCAGTGGAGGCAGTGTGTGTGAGTTTCCCAACTAGGAAAAAAAAAAACTACTGGTTCATTGCCTCGAATATCGAAGGAATGACATAGCGCAAAAATTGGTCGATAGAAGACGGAGACTGAGTTGTGAAGAGTGTCTGAAAATAGGAAAATGTCTTGCACAGCCACCTCATCCTCAACCCAATGCCCTTGCTGATCCTCCACCCCGGAAATGCGATTTCAACTTTGATGTCGAATGGTAGAGGCATGGAAAAATTTAGAATTGTGATCACAAAGCTGCAAACAATTCACTCTGGATTTTTGCTTCATCTTGCCATAATTTATTTAAATCACCCTAAGCTGCAAGAACGTCTACATTATTCAAACAAATTTTCTTGAACTGCCTTCAGATGCACCTTAGCCTTATCAATTTTAAGTCGAGAATTGCATTGCCGCTGCCGAGCCCAGGCTACCAATTTCGCTTTACATAGTTTCAGCTTTGAAGCCCAGCAAAAAAGCCGAGACCCATGCACATTAGTTTTCCAAGCCTCTTCCACAACATTTTGACACTGGATCAGCAGCCCAATGGGCATCAAAATGGAACTGCCGAGCTTTGCAAGAGAAAGTGGGATGAAGAACAAGCAACAAAGCGGCATGGTCGGAACTTGCCACCGATAAATAAGAAAGAAAAGCTCGGGGAAATCAGAGACGCAAATCAGCGGAAGCCAAGGCTCGATACCTAAAATGCGTAGACCCAATTATAATCTTCCCATCTGTCTCCCTCTCCACCTTTCTGCTTGCGTTTAGAAGGATGTAAAAGTTTTTCATCATCGACCAATAGGCCAGTGGCCAAGCGATATCAGCCTCTTACTTCCCAAAGGGAGGTCAGGGGTTTAAATCTCAGAAGAGACATGTGTGTGTGTACCAACTAGGAAAAAAAAAATGTTTTTCATCGTCCCTCTTTGAGGAGTGGATCTTTCAAGGAGAGATCTAAACATATGCAAAGGATTTGAAGATCCTGGTCAAGGTAGTCATAAATCGTCAAGAACGCATCAACGAGAAGCATATGGATCTCCATCCTCTACTCGATCCCTTTGCCACCGATCCCCGAGGCAGTTTTGAACAGAGATTAAGGAAATGATTCTGAACGCATCAACGTAAAGGATTAGTGTTTCATTCTATTTTTATATATATATAAATTGTTTTACTTTCTTTAATTATTTTGAAGAATAAAATGATTCTGAACGGAGATTGAGGAAATATTGTTGTGATTTCAAGTTAGTGTTTCATTCCATTTTTTTTTTTTTTTTTTGTATATAGATATAGAAAAATTATTTTAATTTCTTTAATTATTTCCTCTATTTTATATATATATATATATATATATATATATATATATATATATATATACAGAACTTCAATTTATTTTATGGCTATTCTGGTAACTAAAAAAAATATATAGAAAGTAGGAAGAAGACACACTATATAGTATATTGGACCAGAAAAAAGGGTACAATTGGAGTAATAGAGCAAGAATAGAGATAACTAAGAGTGCAGCACTCATAAGTAGGGCTGCAAGTTGGGCTGGCCCAACCCAACCTCAACTCGAATCGGGTTGGGTTGGGCCAGCCCGAATTGTACCCAACATGGATTATGGTCATAACCCAGCCCGAATATTTTCGGGCGAGTTAGGTTGGGTTGACGGGTTGATTTTTTTAAATTTTTTTTTTTCGTAAATTTATATATATTATATATATTTGATTATATTATTATTTAAAAAACAAATTATATAT